AAGTTTAAATCGCACTGTACATGTGCGTCCGCACGAGGTATTTTGTGGAAGAGCCACACTGAAGGGGCCAAAGAGCCGCATGTGACTCGCGAGCCGCAGTTTGCTGACCACTGTCCCAGGGGGACCTGGTGCTTCCCTCTGTGCCCCCCACCCCATAGCACGGCCCATCCTCTTAGGAACAGTAAGTAACAAACTCTTCTCAATGGCAGCTGACTCTTGGTCTGTTGGCCTCATCATACCTGAATAATAAAACCTACATTAAAAGCATTTTTAAAACAGGTCTTACTCTAGAGGCAAACTTTGTCCCCTGAAATCCTGGAGTTAGAAGGAAGGAAATTCACATCCTGAAGATGCCAGGACTCTGGGGAGAGCCTGGCCAGTAAGCCATCTCCTGGGTGACGTTCAACTGTGGGTACAGAAAAGGCCAAAGATGAAGAGGGGGGCTTGGGGCCTGGAGCCACGGAAAAGGGTGAGACAGTTAGTAGCCAGATCCTGGCAAGAAAGCAGGACCTAGAGGTGTCCCGGTGTGTGTGGGCTTGAGAAAGAGGGACAGAAAGAAAGCAGGACCATGGCAGAACACCTGGGCAGCACCTGGCAGGCTCCCCGCCGGCCTCAGGTATCCAGCTCCTTCTTGACAGTGATGCGCAGGGGACAGATGCGCAGAGGCTCTGGGGGCCCGTTCCCCCGGGTGCCCCCCAGGTAGAAGTAGGGCCGCACCTCCCCAAAGCGGGCATGGAAGGTGTAGAGGTGGCACTGGCGCTCCGCATCGTAGAAGGACAGCTCGCCCTCCTCACATTCCAGCTCCACACGCAGGCGGCGCGGGATGGAGGGGACCAGTGGTGAGGTGGCCGGGTCTGAGGTCACGCAGTGGTCGCCCTCCACTCCCTGTGTGCGGCACAGGTACCAGAAACCAGAGCGAGTGTCCTGGTAGCAGCTGTGGGAGTAGCCCTCGGGGCCAGTTTCTAGGCACATGCGCACCACGCCCACCCGCCAGCTGGGCAGCCCCCCCAGGTCCACCTCCCAGGCGTGGGAGCCGTGGGAGAAGGAGCGGGAGCCCAGCAGGCAGGGCGCCGAGGAGAAGCGCTCCGGGTTCTCCACCTGCACTCGGTAGCCGTGGTTGGTGACACTGGTGAGGTCCTCCGACACAGCCAGCCAGCCCGCTGCGGTGTTGGGATCAAAGCTGAAGGGCACTGAGAGCAGAGGGAGAGAGTGGGGTGAATCAGCGAACCTCACATCCTGCCTTTCTGCCATGCCAGCTGATGCCCCGGCCCCCCAGACTGACCAAGGGTGTCCCACCTGGCCCAGTGCAGGGAGGGAGCTGCCCTGGGCTGAGGGACAGGGTTATGAGTTGAAACGTGCCCCACTAAGAAAGGTATGTGGAAGTCCTAACCCCTAGCACCTCAGAAGGCGACCTTATTTGTTTCAGATGTAATTAGACTGGAATAGAGTGGGGCCTTAATACAATGACTGTTGTCCTTACAAAAAGAAAAGCAACATAGTGAGGGGAGAAGGTCATGTGACCACAAAGGTGGAGATAAAAGTGCTGTGGCCCCAGCCCCGGATTGCCTGCAAACACCAGGAGTTAATAAGAGACAAAGGTCTTCCCCCACAGGGTTGAGAGGGTGCAGGGTCCTGCTGACACCTAGATTTTGGACTTCGTAGCCTCTGGCCGTGTGAGAATGAATTTCTGCCATTTTAAGGCATCCAGTTTGCAGTCTGATTATGTCAGCCATCGCGAGCAATACAGGCAGGGATCCTGGTGCTCACACAACTCACATGCCGCCTTAGGAAAGCACGGAACATCCCCTGGGTCACCGATATTTCTCCCTCTAAGAGTCAGTCAGTTTGGGCAGCTGCAACAAAAGGACCGTAGACTGGGAGGCTCAAACAACAAAACTTTATTTCTCATGGTTCCAGAGGCTGGAAGTCCGAGATCAGGGTGCTCCCATGGCCAAGTTATGGTGAGGGCCCTCTTTTTGGTTTACAGATGGCCATTTTCCTGCTGTGTCCTCACAAGATGGAATGAGAGAGAAGTCAGCTCTCTTGTGTCTCTTCTTATAAGGGCACGGATACCACCATAGGGCACCACCCTTATGACCTCATCCGATCCTAATCACCTCCCAGAGGCCCTGCTTCCAAACACCATCACACAGAAGGTTAGGGCTTCAACATATGATCTGGGTGGGGCGGAGGGCATACAAACATTCAGCCACAGCACATGACCTAGTGATCGTGTGGGCTGGAATCACCTTGAAAGAGGCAATTCTGAACTGAGGAAGATTTGTATCCACAGTCCAGTTCTGAATAGAGGGAAGTCAGTTTCTTTTTCTGAAGAGGTGGCCACGTGTCAGGACCCAAAGAGGAAGGCGTCCTGCTAAGAGCAGTGGGGCAAGGAGGGAGGAGGAGTTGGGTGCTGGGGCCCTGTCTGAATGAGGCTGGAGTTTAGCGAGCTCTCTGCCTTGCCTGTAGTGCCTCCCATGCCTGTACCACCTGCCCATGCGCGTTCCCACTCACCAGTTTCAACAGACATGACCATCTTCTTCCAGACACGGTACTGCAGGGAGTCTAGGTACTTGCAAACGTTGATCAGCATGCCAGGCTGCACAGGCTCTGGCTCCATGGTGCAGAAGAGGCTGGGGAGGGAGAATTGGGTCTGGTGGGCAGGGCCGGGGTCATGCATCTGGGCCTAACTGGGTCAGCTGGATTTAACAAACAATAGGACTTCTTCCCTTGTCACAGGCCTAAAATTCCCCACCACCACACTCAGCACAAACCCAAACTGGGCTCTGATGAGAGGATGAGCCAGGAACCATCTGGGCAGCTCATACCGCTTCAAGATTCAGTATTAGGGCTCATTCTGCCCCAGCTGAGATAAATATAAATAGGAGGTACTCAGACATGGTTGCCTTCCTTGTGGGCAGAAATTGCACTCATACATCTGCTCAAAGGATGTCTGAGTCAAAAGGGATCATAAAGGCCCTCTAGTCCAACAGTATGAGGTGTCACTGGCCTTTGCTTAACACCTACAGTTTCAGGGAACTCACTACTGCCCAAAGCACTCTCTTCCATCTTCGTACAGCTCTGTCTGAGACACAGTTCTTCCTTACTCATCCCTGTGTTCAACCATCAACTCAGCCAGAATATGTCCAGAGGCTCTCAGAGGGAGGGTGATGACCAAGAAACAAGCTTAAATGTTGGGACGACCTCCTGGAACTACGAGCCACATGCAGGATGGCCTCTCTCTCCCTACCCCAGGGATAACAACACTGCACCAGTGGGATGCCTTGAAAGAGGGCTCTGTGCACCTGGCCAGGCCCCATCACGCCCTCTGTCTTACACCCAGTTGGCTTTATTACATGCCTGGCCCTGGAGCCACTGGAGTTTGCACCCCAGGTATTTCTGCCTGCGCTTTCCCTCCCCTCCATCAGCCTTGGCCACTCACCGGCGTTTTCGGCTCTTGTGTTTCTGAAAGAGAAAAAATCAAACACAAACATAGACACAGAGAAAACATGTCAGTTTCTGACCTCAAAAGGAGCCATACACCTAATGTTCATGGGTCAGAAGACTTCATAGCATTAAGATGGCCATAATCCCCAAACTGATCTAAAGATTCAATGTAATTTCTATCAAAATTTCAGAAACTGATAAGCTGTTCTAAAATTCATATGAAAATTCAAGGGACTCAAAATAGCCAAAACAATCTTGGAAAAGAACAAAGCTGGTGGCTCACACTTCCCTACTAAAAACTTAATAAAAGCAATAGTAAACAAGTTAGTGTGGTATTAACATAAGGATAGACATATGGACCAGTGGACATTGAAAGTCTATGAATAAACCGTCACATTTACCAGCAATTGGTTATCTACAGGGTGCCAAGAACATTCAATGGGGAAAGAATGGTCTAAACAAATGGTGCTGGGACAACTGGATATCCACATGCAGAAGAATGAAGTTGGATTCCCTTACACTGTATTAAAAAATTAACTCAAAATGGGTCAAAGACTTAAACGTAGAGATAAAACTAGAAAAATCATGAACTTGGCTTAGGCTATGGCTTCTTAAATATGACACCAACAGCACAAAGCAGCACCAAAAGAAAACAGTTAAGGAGCACTTCATCAAAATGAAAAGTCTCTGCTTCAAAGGATGTCATCAAGAAAGTGAAAAAATAATTCAGAGATTGGAAGAAAATATTTATACATTATATAGCTGATAAAGGTCTAGTAGCCATAATATATATATAAAAAATCTTACAATTCAACAACAAAAAGACAAACAGCCCAATTTTTAAAATGGCCAAAGGACCTGAATGTACATTTCTCCAAAGAAGATACACACAAATGGCCAACAACTACATGAAAGATGCTCAGTGTCACTAGCCATCAGGGAAATGCGAATCAAAATCGTATGGGAGCCCTGGCCGGTGTGGCTCAGTTGGTTGAACATTGTCCCATGCACCCAAAGGTCACTGGTCTGATTCCCGGTCAGGGCACAGTAGGGGGTATCCAAGAGGCAGCCAATCTCCCAGGGATGTTTCTCTCTCTC